CATGTTGAAGAGCCTTCTCCTGTTGCAGATGCCACACAAAGCTAAACAGCTTTCTGAGTTACTTGATATACTGGCCAGGGTAACACAATCAAGTAAGGAATACGATGTGGAGATCCAAATAAGGCCCTTGAATTTTGTTTTATTTCCCATCCTCTGATGCACATCTGCCTTTCCAACAAGTCCAAATGGTTGTTACCTACTGCTCCCTTGGTCCATAATGTCATCAACATTTTTTTTTTTTTGATGAGACAGACTTAAAAACTAAGTAGTGGCAGAGGGCTGGAGGGTTAATATAGCCTTGAGGTGAAACTGTAAAGGTATACTGCTGGACTTGCAAACTGAAGGTCAATTACTTCTTGTGGTCCTTCTGAACAAATACCCAGGAAAAGCAATTGCTATATCAATAGGTGCATACCACATAGAGGGAGATGGGCTAATCTGCTCAAGTAAGGACACCACATCTGATGCAGCATCTTCAATCAGTCATGACTTAAGTCTTCAGTTGTCACCTGTCATTCTTCACTATCGATCTGTCTTCTGCACTGGCCAGATAGGAGAGTTAAAGAGAAATGGAACCACTACCCCTGCATCTTTAAAGTCCTTGATGATGGCACTCTCCACACGTCCTCAAGGGATACATTATTGTTTTGGATTCACTGTTTGCCTTGGCTGAGGCAATTTCAAGGCTTCAATCTGGCCTTTCTGACCATAATAGCATAGACCTCACTCACAGGTCAGGGAAGCAATGTGAGAATTCTGCCAATTTGTAAGTTTATCTATCCTAGTTACACATCCTGGAACTGGTGAAATAACCAGAAGATGAATTCCAGGACCTACTGGACCCATGATGTGTCGACTTCAACCAAAACTCCATTAATCACGACCTCCATAAAGCCCCCACTTAAACGGGAAGGCCAGGTTTCTTGGGGTCTCATGGAGTCACCATCAATTCAGAACTAATATTACATACAGAAAGTCTGTACTAAAGCCTTTTAGTTTTATGACCAAGTATTAACCGTAATTCCTGAGCAAATGGGGTCCTATTTAGAAAGTCTTTTGCTGTACCTATATGTTGTAAATTAAAGCCTCCATTTTCTTCTAGCAGTTTCAATATTTCAGGTTTTGCATGGATACTTGATTCATTTGGAGTTTGTGTGTGTGTGTGTGTGTGTGTGTGTGTGTGTGTGTGTGTGTGCAGGGTGTTACATATAGGTCTAATTTCATTCTTCTTGTACGGATATTCATTTTCCCCAACACCATTTGTTAAAAAGTGTGTATTTTTTGGAATCTTTGCCAAGTATCAGATGGCTGTAACCACCTCCATTTAAGACTAGGTCTTCTGCTCTACTGATTCACAGGTCTGCATTTGTGTCATCTGAGAAAAGGGACCCTTAACTGAGAAATCACCTCCATTAGGTTACCTGTAGACAACTCTGTGGGTCACCTCTTTCCTCCACTTCTTATTAGTCGAATTTGTTCCCTAGACACTTTCATTTCTACATTCGGGGTATATGCACATACATGACTTTTTGTGTGTCTATGTAAAATCTAGAAATCTCAAATGAAAGAGAATATGAAAGCAGGTAGGCTGTGGTGTCCTTACTTGAGCAGATTAGTCCATCTCCCTCTATGTGGTATGCACCTATTGATCTAGCAATTGCTTTTCCTGGGTATCTGTTCACAAGGTCCACAAGAAGTAATTGACCTTCAGTTTGCAAGTCCAGCGGTATACCTTTACAGTTTCACCTCAAGGGTATATTAACACTCTAGTCCTCTGCCATTACTTAGTTTTTAAGGGATCTTGATTAAAAAAAAAAAAAAAAAAAAAAAAGAGAGATGACAGCAGGGACCGGACCTGAGGTTGCAACCCTGAGAGTGCTTATGTCTTAGCTATAATCCCAGCATTGGTTTGGTAGAAACCAGAGGATCAGGGGTTTGAGGCCATCTTAGCTACATATGAGTTCTGGGCAGCCTGTTTCTTTACTTACGCACAGCATGCCTGTGTAATTTTGTGTCAAAGCAATGGCAATTCAATTCTTTGTTTGATTTGATTTTGTTTGACAGTGTTAAGAGCCCAGACCTTTACCTGTATTTTAACATTAAAGCATGGAGGTTGTTCTTTTATTTTTTGTTTCTTTAAAAGCTATATTAGCTCCTAAGGAAGCAAGCTGAGACATAAGCATTCTTAGGGTTGCTAACTCTAGGTTACTGCTGTCATCTCTAAAATGGTTCACTATGCTTTTCTAAATGTTGGAATCTATTTTTTCTTAATTATTTATGTTGGGGAGGGACACACCTGTGCCACACCATGATGTGTATAGGACACTTTTAGGAGTCATTTCTTGCCTTCTGCTTTGTTGAGGAAGGGTTTCTCTTGGTGTTCTGTTTTTTCCCTGCTGTGGCTTTCAGTACTTGAGGATAGCTAGCTCAAGTACCTATTCATCCTTAGAATAAAACTGAGGATAGTAGTAATTCCATCTACATCTTCATTCTTCATGTACTTCCCTCACACTTCTTGATAGTTAACATGTCTTAAAAGAATCTTGGGTTATATGTATTTATTTGATTTCCTTCCATAATGTGGGTCATCAGTCTTGGTAGCAGGTGTACTGAGCTATCTTGTACCATTTTTACATTTCTGTAGTGAATAATTAATCACCCATGTATGTTACTGGCTTATTTTAAACATTGATGATTAAAATATTTATCTACAATATGGTTGGAATTATTCAGATCACAATAAAAGTATGTGGTGGAATTTAAAGAAAAAAAAAAAAAACTACATATCTTGCCCTTCTCATGGTTTCCTGTTCAAGAAGAGTCTCTTTAACATTACTATGGGTGTTTTGCCTGCATATATGTGCACCACATGTGCAATGCATAGTGGAGGCCAGAAGAGGGCATCAGATTCCCCTGGGATTGGAGATACATTCAGTTGTGAGCTGCCATGTGAGAGCTGGGAATTGAACCCTGGTACTCTGAAAGAGCTGTCAGGGCTGCTAACTGCTGAGCCATCTCTATAGCTCTTAAGAAAAGTCTTAATTCAGTGTGATGGCTCATACCTATAATTCCAGCACGAGGGAGATAAGAGGATTGATTCAAGTTTAAAGCAGGTTGGTCTACACAATGAATAGCAAGACAGTCAGGCTATAAAGTGAGACCTATTATCAATAATCCTAATGATGTAAAAGTTTACCATATATTAGTCATATGTCAGTAGAGGTTCAATCTAGTTTTTGTTTGTTTGAGATATGGTTTCTCTGTGTAGACCAGGCTGGCCTGGAACTCACAGAGAGACCCCTGCTTCTGCCTCCCATGTGCTTGGATTAAAGGCATGGGCCACCACCACACCTGGCTTGAATCTAATTTTGAAACAATCCATATATATCTGGAAGTAACTTTACACTCATGAGCTTCTTCTTTAAAATCTTTATTTCATGAGCCACTATCCAAGGATGGAGGTCAGAGGATAACTCCACAGTTGGTTCTCTTTCCACCATGTGAGTCCCAGGGATCAAATTCAAGCCCACGCTTAGTGGCAGAGGCCTTTTACCTCCTAAGACATCTCTATAGCCTATGAGCTGTGTGTGTGTGAGTGTGTATAGACACATGCAAGTTAGAGGACAACTTGCATGACAGAAGTTGATTCTTCCCACCCATCATATAGGTTCCAGGGATCAAACTCAGGTGGTCAGTGGCAACTACTTTTCCAGCTGGCCCCTTAGTTCTGTTTTGTTTGGATAGGGCTGACATTAAGTAGCTATGACAGGTTTGGCATTCGATATGTATCCTAGAGTGGTCTCCCAACTCTTGCGGGGTGATCCTTGCGCTTATGCCTAAAAGCTGAGTCTTTAATAACATTGAGGTGTAATAAGTATATTAACACATGTATCAATGGATGGTTATCTGAATACATATGTGATCACAACAAATGTCAGAAAATGGTAACTGGGTAATCTAGCTAGTAGGGACATGGTTGTTCACTGCAATTCTTTCGACTTTTCTAAACGGAAATTTCATAACACGTTGTTTTACTCAAGCAGGAGCATATTCAATTTTTCAGTCTTTGACGGGTACCATTTATCATTCTTTTTTTTTTAAACGGTTCTTTGTCGAGTTACTAGTTTTCCCATTCTAAAGCAAAATATATATGACTTCCTTTGCTAGGAAATACTTTTATTAACACAAGCAGGCCAGTTATCAAATGCAAAGTAAAGACCTCGAAGAGATAAATTACTACTATACTGCCAACGGCCCAGGCTTGAGAGGCGATGCGTAAAACCAGGAGGGTAGGAACAGCATTGCGGCTTTTAGTATCATCATTAGTATTCTGGCCAGAAGTTTCACTGACCACAACAATGGCAGACTCCATTTCAGCTATCCCTCAGTAGTCCAGCGATGTAGAAAAACCAACCATGCCCGCTGCTACTCTCTCAAAACGTACCACCTCCACCTAGCGGGACTGAAGGGAAGGGCGTACTGCTGCGGTGTTGGGGACTAATCCCTAACACGGATAATAATGATCTCCATATCAAAAGGCTGGTGTGATATAAAATGGAAAGGCAACAGACCTATCATTATCATTGTCATTACTATTACCCATCCCCCGACAAAGCCATCATTGTGACATGAGGAAGGACGCCAGACCAGCGGTCTCAACTTCATTTCCTGAAGAATCCATGACTCAACCTCACAAAATACCTGGAACGCGCCGTACCCGTCATCCTGCGCATGCGCAAGGGAGGGCTTCGCAGGTAAATGGACTATTCCATTCCTGACGGGTGTTGACAGCGGAGAACTTGGAAGCTTGACTCTGGAAGTACTGGCGAGTCGGTACGATTTTACATAGTGTATGACACATTGTGATTATTATAGTTCTTCCTCGATGGTCGCAACAGGCTTCTGGCAAAGTTGATTTTGGTTCGCCCCATTGGCTAGGTTACCTCCACCTGGTAGCGTTAGGACCAGCCGGCGTGACGCCCGAGTACGGAAGCCTGGGAGGCTCCGCCCAGGGAGCCCCCGCCCAGCCCGACCGATCTCGCCCCGCCTTCATCAAGCCGCAGGGTCCCTGCCGGCCGCGCCGCGGGGCAGCTCCTCCTCTTCTCCGCCCCGCCGGCTGCGGGCTCTGGGGACGTCAGCGCTGCCAGCGTGGAAACCGCTTCGGGCCGCGAGAGGCGGAAGTAGAGCCCGGCGCCGCGGCTATTTCGCTGGACGCCTCAGCCATGGACGCGTCTCTGGAGAAGGTCGGTACGGAGGGATCGGGTGGAGCCACGGCCCCGGATCTCTGTTTCCCGGTGGGGAAGGGGGCGGGGGCTAAGGAGCCTCGCTGGAGGAGGGCTTCCAGCCCGGGCCTGGCTATGTCACGGGCGGAGTGGCTGAGGGATGTGAGCCCGGCGCTGTTGGAGCCGGCCTTGGCTTCGCGGAGGCTCGGCTTGGGGCTGGGCCTGAACCGGCGCTGGCCCTGTGGGATGACAGGAGCAATCGGTGTGGGCCCCAGTGGCTCACGAAAAGAAGCCCTAGTTGTCACGGAGCTCACTGCAAAGCCACAGTGCTTTCCAAGTTAGGAGACAAATTATGAACTTTGGCGGGAGTAAGAATCACCTGGGGACCTTGGTAAAAAAAAAAAAAAATGCAGGACCCAAAATACATAGAGGAACACTGCCTCGATTCCCGCCCCCTTCCAATGGCTTTGCAGCCTCTAGTCTTAAACTGTGGTGGGCGGGGACTCAGCTTGAGTTTAACAAGTTCCCCACGTGATGCTGATGCTGTTGTCTGAGAACCTTGGGCTAGAACCCCTAGGATCCACAAAGGGGTGGGTATTCCGTAAATGGGGAGTTTATTTCGGGTGGGGGGGGTCTTACAACGTTCCTCTCTCTGACAACCATTAGAGGCCTTCAGGTCAACCTCAAGTCCAGGGGAACTTGCCTTTTACCTTGTTTACCCCTTGGGGCAACAGCCACTTGATGGACCTGGCTGACTGCTCTAGCTTGTTTAATGGATTCTAATTGTTCCCACTTTGGGAGGACAGGCAAATGAGAACAGGTGCTTGGGTTTCTTCATGGACCCTGCTTTTAGTGCCTAACACTCTGTCCTCGAAGCCTTTTTCTCTATGTCCCTTCTTGAAAATTTGCTTTGTCCTATGTGATGTAAACCCAGTTTTTACACCACCACCACCACCCTTCTCAGGCTCTATCTCTCCCTCTCTCCCCTCTCTCTGTTTCTCCACCCCCACCTCCCATCTTGTGAAGTAACCCTGGCTAGTCTGTAACTCACTATAGACCAGGCTGACCTCAAACTTAAAGTGATTCTCCTGCCTCTGTCCCCCTTCATCCCCCCAAAAAACTGCTGGGATTACAGGAGTGTGCCATCATGCCTGGCTTGGAATTTCCTTTTCAAAGAAGCAGCTGTTGTAGTTGTGTTCACTTGTCACTGGGGAGTTGAAGGTAGTAATTGTAGAAATTGAGCCAGATGTCACAGTGGCATATCTTGCTCCTCAGCAATTTAGCATAAATTGGGGGGGGTTGGAAAGCAATCAGGGAAGAAGATACTTTTTTTTTTTCTTGGTTCTTTTGATTAACAGTATTTACTTTTTGGTACCATGAGTTTCACTCAAGAGTGGAGAGTCTCAACTCTAGGTTAGGCTTGTTCCCCAGGGAATATTTGGTAGTTTCTGAAGCTGTTTTAGACTAGAATGTCCCAAGATAGGTACTGCTAGGACCTAGTAGGAAGAACCAGAGAATACTGTTGAATATCCTCTTTTGCACAGGACAGTTCCAAATATCAATATCAGCAATGCAGATGCTGAGAAAACTGGTTGAGATCATGTGTGTACTCTAGTAGTTGAATACAAAATAATGCTAAAAATGTCCTGTGTTTTTCATTTCATAATAAGGCTTTATGTCATTCCATTAGAAACTTGAAAGAACTGAGACAATCTTCTGAGAATATCTGAAAACTAAAAGTGGGTAGGAATCCTACTGTAAATGGTATTTTTCTGAGTATTAAGTGATGATAAAATATTTTAAACCTTCCAAAGATCGAGGTCCTGAAAACTCCAGCATGCCAGAGGGATGGAACTTAAATTGCACTGAACTTTGAGGAATTCAGAATGTGTGGGCTGGAAGTCCCTGCCTTAGGCTAGTGTGAAAATTATAAATATAAGTTTTGTTTTAAAATTAGGGCTCAAAGGGTGGTGGTGGCAGCAGCGGCGCACACCTTTAATTGAAACACTGGGGAGATAGAAACAGGCAGATCTCTTGTGACTTCAAAGCCAGCTTGGTCTATAGAGTGAGTTCTAGGACAGCCAGTACTACCCAGAGAAATCCTGTCTTGGAGGAAAAAAAAGCTAGGGTTCTTGTTTTTACATTCTATGAATTAATAGAGCATTTCAGATATAATGAATACTTTCTGTTAATGATAAATGGGTAGGAAAGGCTTTGATGTAATAAGATTTAGATGACTGTGTTCTGGAAAACAGTTTGGATTAAAGTGAAACATTGAATTATGTCTGTTGTTGCTGTTTCTTTGAGGAATAAGCTAATTTGGGCTAGATTCTATATTTCTAATAAAAATTTGAGAGCTGTTTGAGTAGTTCCTGAATGGTTCTGTTTCATCTGATCCATGCATAATTTATAGAGCCATGGAAACCACAATGTTATTTAATATTTATCCTCTGAAACTTCCATATCACATCCTCTAGAATAGTGATTCTCAACCTGTGGGTCGTGACACCACAGGAATAGAATATTACATATCCCGCATATCAGATATTTACATTTCAGTTTATAACAGTAACACAGTTATGGTTATGAAGTACTAATGAAATTATTTTATGGTTGGAGGTTACCACAACATGAGGAACTATATTAAAGGGTTGCAGCATTAGGGAGGTTAAGAACTACTGCTCAGCCAGGCAGTGGTGTCGAAGGCCTTTAATCCCAGCTTGTGCAGGAGGCAGAGGCAGGTGGATCTCTCTGAGTTCAAGGCCAGCCTGGTCTACAGATAGAGTTCCAGGACAGCCAGGGCTACACGGAGAAACCCTGTCTCAAAAAACCAAACCAAACCAAACCAAAACAAAAAAACCCCACTGCTCTAGGATGTAGTGATTCTCACTCAGAATCACTCCATACATGTCTTTTGATCAAACTATAACTCTGTACCCCTGCTTTTTCTTGAGGTAATATGCAAACTTGCTAGTCTGACAGGACAGTCTCTTTCCTTATCTTAATTTGGTTTTCTTTTACAGTGGTATCTGAAATGAGTGAAGACTCCGTACCAGATTGGCTAATTGAAGAAACAAGGAATTCAAACTAGGAGAGTAGAAAGAGGGACTGAGAACAACTGAAGTTTCTCTGAGAATAGTTCTTTATAAGTAAATCTGCCAAATAAAAGGGGTTAGGTGGCTGGAGAGGTGGTTTAGTGGTTAAGAGCACTGTTGATCTTAATAGGTTCGATTCCCAGCACCCACATGGTGACTCACAATTGTCTGTACCTCCACCTCCTTGGAATCCAGCACCTTTTTCTGGCCTCCTCAGGCACCAGGCATGTAAGAACATGCTGGCAGAAAACCCATAACATGTAAAATAAATCTGAAAAAAAATTTAAGTGGGTCGGTATCTTCTAGCACTTTATTGTGTTCAACATGCAACATGCAAGAGCTAGAGAACTTAGTGGTTAGGAGTATGCACGGCTCCTTCAGAGGATCCAAGATGACTTTTGATCACCTGTAACTACAGCTTCAGAGGATCTGACACCCTCTTCTGGCTTCAGAAAGTACTTGCACAGACATGGCATGCATACAGGCACACAATGTACACATAAATAAAAAAGAAAAATAATTGAAAAACAACAAAAGGTCCTGGATAATAATTTTAATATTATGTTAATATTCAAGTCAGTACTAGCACAGGAAGTGTGAGAGACCATATTCATTTATTAACATTTCAATATTGTCTTGCCGCTTTAAACCTTTTCATGTTGAATGAAAAATGTCATTCTTCCCGGATATTCTGTTTATACAAGGTGTATTGCAATTTGTTTTGTGTTTGCTTTAACTCCACCCTTGAACAAACTCAGGGCAGCCTTTCTCAAACTTCTCAATTACTGATATTTGTGTCAACTGATTATTATGTGTGGGAGGTTCATTGCAGTGTAGCATGTTTAACAGAATCCCTGGTCCTCATCCACTAGATTCTAGCAGTACACTCACAGCTGTTACAATTAGAAATGGCTCCAGATTGGGTGGGTGGAATTGCCTGTGGTTGGGAATCATTAACTGACAACTCAGAGCTGCTGTTCAGTTAGGGAGCCACTAGTTAAACTTGACGGCTTAAATCTAGATGGCCTGAAATCAAGCAGAATTAACAATTCATTTCCCTACTGTATTAACCATATTTCTAGTGCTCAACAGACATATATGGCATGTGGCTGCCATATAAAGCAGCACAGGGTTAGACCATTTCAGTCACCAATACAGTAGAGCTGGGTGCTTGTTAGAGCTGCTTATCTCTGAAAGAGGCACCTTCACTCTGTTTTTTACCTAAGTCCACTGTTGCTTGTTTGGTTTTGATTGTCTCTGAGACAGGATATCACTGTGTAACCAAGGATTACCCTAAACTCATGGTCTAGCTTCACTTCCTAAGTGCTGGGGCTACAAACATGTGTCATTACACAAAAAGCTTTGTGCAGTACTGGGGACTTGTGGGTACTTTGTTTTCTGTGTCTTTACCCTAAACTGACCATTTCTCTTTTGAGTCTGATTTGAAAAGAAAAAATATTTTACAGCTGAAGCTTATAAAGAAGAACAAAAGCAGTGTGAATAGAACACTTTGAACCTTATTGACAAGGGTGGCCAGAACTTTTATGTCTGCCTTTAAAAAGCGTGAGAAAGGGGCTGCAGAGAAGGCTTAGTGCTCTAGGAGTGACTGCTGCCTTTGTAGTGGGCCTGGATTTGGCTCCCAGCACTCATTGTTGTGTGTGGCTCACAATGGCCTGAAACTCTAGTTCAGGGGAACTGACTGATAACCTCTGGCTTTCAAAGGTACCTATATACATGTGTATTCTTAAATTTATTTAGCCTCATACATATACACATAAATAAAAATGACAAATCTTTAAAAAAAAATTTTTTTTAAAGCATAGGAATCCCAATGAGGCAAGTTTAATATGATTGATTTCTGTGTGTACTGTGACAGAGCCCACTCTTTCACATAGTGTAGAGGGATTTCTGTGTAGATGTGTTGGG